TTGGTGGCGGCTTCTTGTGTATTTGGTGTTCGAGATATGGTCTGGTTACTCAAAAAACCACATCTCGTGGCACACAAATTTTACTTCAAAGTACAACCTGCTGCTTATTTTTGTATTTACAAAAAAGTGCGAGAGCGGGCTTTGGAAAACAACTGGACGTTCGATGACAAAATGTATGGTGATTTACCTGGACCACGGATGACCCGAGGCCAAAGTGTTCAGGAGTGGTTTGATGAGAATGCTAGCTAGCGAACACATTTCGCGTCTTCTGCAGAAGGGAAATTCGCACTCCGTAGTGTTATCAAACCCCGAAACTGAAAATACTGGGGTGAAAGATGTGGTAAATTGAAATGGATTTGATCAGGAAAGGTTTTATTGAGTAGATACAAAAATTAGCCAAAATAGTGCCGTAATTTTCCAGTATTTACTAAAATGCGCTAGAACCAAACTGTTAAGTGTGCATATAATAAAACCAAGTGCCATATTGAACTGAGAAAATTATGCTAAAAAAGGGAGGGTAAATTTCGACCAGAAACAGAACCACTTTTATCTAAAGGCATTTGTTTTAAGCTACAGTTTTTCTTTTTAGCCATAAATTCGGATTTTTTTGCTGTTCGCTGACACTTTATAAGTACTTTAGAAAGGCATTTTTTGTGATATTTTCATAATCGTATTCCGCCTGATGCTGCTTTCAAGATAAAACAAATGGTTCTAGCCAGACTAAAGAAAAAATGAAAACCAATCCAATTTACGACTCATTCAGTCGTTTTTTTTTGAAAAATGGCTGCTTGCACATGCCAGGAGATCAAAGTCGCCATCAGCATTCTTCTAAGCAACCCTTGCAACTAATCTTGCCGGTGAATGGCTGATCTTAATAAAATGCTAACAGACAAATTGCTTTGGAATGCCTGTGTCCCGCTCAGAAAATGGAACCGGCAGAGGATTTTAACTTTCCTTCATTCTTTTAATTATTGTTTTGGAATTGTAAGTTAATCGGAGTTGTTAATTGTTGAATTATTTGTAATAAATTGTTGAATTGTTCAGTAAGGCGAAATTCGTTTTTTTTTTAAAAGTAATGATTTGGTCTGCTTGTAAAATAATTTTTTCTAAACTTCCTTTTTCCTTTTTCATGTGTTTGTGCTATACAGCGCTTAGCGTTGCTACAATCAGAAAAAACGCATATTGTCGAGAGGTCGTCTGTGTGTACGTGTTTTCGAAAATGAGTGAGCCACGTCACCCACTCCCATCTCAGCAACCAGGAAAGCTGGGAGGCTGAAATTTTAGATATA